TCTTCTCATATCCAGGAAGGATGCTGTTATGCTCCTGGAGTTGATGCTGCATGCAGTGAGACCAGGGGCTATATATTAAGTTTACTTCCAACACAATTAGAAAACTGATTGGCCTTTTTCTTTTGGAATAAGGCTTCCCCTTGATCTCCAAGCCTGACATTTTCTTGGATTTCAACAAATATAGTATTCTGGAATACTATATATATAATGTATATATATTCTGGAATACTATATATAGTATTCTGGAGAAGAGGTGTTAACCTCTTCGCCATGTGGAAAAGCTCTGCTTCCAGTTTCTATGGAAACAGATGTTAGGTTAACGCTAAAATGATTGCACTATTTTAAGTAGTCATTTGAAGTATTGCTTAGGGATTCAGGGAAGTCAGCTACCTCGGAACCCTGTTTAGATCTGTAGCTATATACATATATGCACAGAGGCATCTCTACAAAGAAAAAAGAGCACATTAAACATTAAGTACGTCCCTACTACTGCTCTGGCCCCCTGCTCTCCCTCCTATGCCACGACAACTCAAGAAAAGTCCAGAATAGTTACCAGTGCATGTCAAGAAGAAAAAGATGGTTTCCTCCAGTCAAGTTTAGACCAACACCTCCGGCCAAGAGAGAGATTAGCATGACCTTCAAAAGGAAGTATACCATTAACTTTAGATAAACTTGATCTCATAAAACATCTCTTCTTTTGTCTCAGGTTCAAGCCCAAGATCAATGCGAACAAGCAATGAGTTCCTATTAAGTTTCCTTCTGCTGTCATTATAACACACTGGTTTTTGAAATTTTAATGCTATCTTCCATGCATCACATTTGAGAAAATTCACACTTCGCTTTTTTGTGAGTCAACCTCAAAATACTAACTGTGTGCCTGCCAAAATATGCGAATACTACAATTCAGAGCACTGGGGTTGTTTCTGTAAACTTGCCATTAACCAAAATGTCTATGCCATCAGTCCTCCCTTTCCCTATCACTGTAATGATTCTCAACTAATGATTTTTAAATTCTCATTATCTACAATTGTATGCCTTTGTTCCTCCATTTCCCTCCCTATATCCTCATATCGAAAGCCCACCTATCCTTCCAGGCTCATCTCAAATGTTGTCTCCACCACAAAGATTCTTGATCCTAATCACTTCTGATCTCACTCTCCTTTTAGTCCCTCATATTTTATTCTCTTTTGATTCCCTTTAGATAATCTGTATACTTTGATATGTGTCCCAATAAATTATCAAGACTGAAAATATTTTTAATTGAGTTGCTATATTATGACTCTCTCAATACAGAGAATTGAGAACAATTTGCTCTTAATCAAAAAGCTCTGATGTGACCAGCTCATACCTGTGGACCCCTGGAATTACTGTTGAATGCCTCAGTCAAGTCTATCCTCTGTTTGGGGTTGACAGAGCCATCAATGGTGGCGTAAGTCACTCCATGCCTCTTAAGGTGCAATGCTACAACTTTCAGCAGGCTGGTCCATTGAGAGACAATGACACTGAGAGGAAGAGAAAAATAAAAAAATCGAACCCACCAAAAACAGATTAAACTAATTCATCTATAGGGCTTTAATGCCCCTGTTATTCTTAAGACTCTTCAGTCATCAAATGTAATAGAGGAAAGGCCTTCTACTACCTAAGGGAAAATGATACACACTTAGGTCCCATTATGAGACTATAAGGCATCCAGTTATATCTGGATCCATTCTACAGTTTTTCTTTTTTTTTTGCCAGACTAAAGTCACAAGTGCAGCCTACTGTAATTTGGGGACCTTGTACTCACCCAGAGATCTGTGACCCTGAAGAAAAGGGATACAGGCCACCCTCCCTTTGCAGACAGAATGTCAAGCCACCAGGATTCTCTACTCACCCCATGCCCAACCATTTCTAAATTTTGTTTTAGATTGAAATATTTCATATATCCAAATGCAGATGTATAACATATACATAAGGTGTAACAAACAGCAGAACAAACCTCCCTGTATCCATGCACCCACCTTGAGAACATTACCAGCACTTCTGAAGCCCCCATCTGATCACACCCCTTTTCCTTCTTTAGCATTTGTCATTCCTTTGTTTTTCTTTACATGTGCCTCTACTTTTAAATGTTTCTTCAGATCCTTAGCTTATCCTGAATCTCTAGAGATTTCCTTCCAATCTGCACCACAAATATTTTAATCAGAAATCATAGGGAATTTGTGCTATAACTTCAGTGCTTTCTGCTGAGCATGATTCAAGGTACTTGATATAAACAGCTGAAATTTATGACCATCAGCAGTATCTTAGTTATCTAGTGCTGCTAGAACAGAAATACCATACATGGGTGGATTTAACAAACAGAAACCTATTTTCTCACAATTTACGAGGCTAAAAGTCCAAATTCAAGGTGCCAGCTCTAGCTGAAGGCTTTCTCTCTCTGCCAGCTCTGGAAGAAGGTCCTTGGCTCTTCAGCTTATTTCCTGGTTCCTTGGAGATCTCCACTGTGGCTTGGCATCAATCTTCCCCCATCTCTGCTTGCTCCTTTGCTTGTTTAACCTCTTTTATATCTCAAAAGAGACCCACTCAAGACACACCCTACACTAATCCTGCCTCATTAACATAACAAAGACAACCCATTCCCAAACAGGATTACAACCACAGGGATTAAAAAAAACCCTTGCCATCAAGTTGATTCCAACTCACAGCAACCCTACAAGACAGAGTAGAACTGCCCCACAGAGTTTCCAAGCAGTGGCTGGTGGATTCCAACTGCTGACCTTTTGGTTAGCAGCCGAGCTCTTAACCACTGCACCACCAGGGCTCTGCCACAGGGATAGAGGATTTACAACACATATTTTTTGAGGACTAATTCAATCCATAACAAGCAGCATCAAATTTTCTTACTTAATTACAACCAATACTTGGAAAATGAAATTACGTATTTACCTCTTCTGGGACCCTGAATTTCTTC